TAAAGATACCTGGTATATGAAAATCACTATATAAAACAAAAGTCCATTCTGTTCAATTCAGTTTTTAGCTTGGTTTTGGAACCACCATTTCACAATGCAATAGGGTTAGTACGGCAATTGATTTTTAGAAAGAGAGCTTTGTTTCTTGAAAAAACTGGGTGATTGTTCCAGCCTTTGATCACAGGCTAATGAGCTCAAATTCTGTTGTGGTGTGCTTTGAGTGATGCAAGGGACTCATTAAAATGAATGGTTTAGAAAGTAAATCTGTAAAAGTTAGTGCATTCAGTGACTGTTGTTCCTGCCTCTGTATAACTTTGTCAGATGAAAATATCATTTTACGTCTGTTTTTCTTTTTAAACTGTTGGTTTAAAAATGGCATTCCTTTATGTATTTTTATTAGTAATATCCATGTCTTGTTGCATCCTTTTGAATTGAATTTATTCACCAAAACGGCATTTATTCCTAAAATCTAGACAGTTGTATTTGATTACTGTGTGTTTATTTTATAAATAAGTACATCTTGGATTTCAATTATTGTGTTGAGACTTTTTTTGAGTGCCTGTGTGCTAAGGCATCCCTGACAAATCTCAAAGGGGTAGCTATGTGTGTTTGTATCTGCAAAAGGTGTCCTGTTAGTCTTTATAAGAGATTTATTTGGGCATAAGCTTTCATGGGTAAAAACCACTTTGTGAATGTATCTAAGTGGTTTTTAACCACAAAAGCTTAGTCTTTAAGGTGCCACAGGACCCCTCATTAAGGCACCACTGCTCATTCTTGCTTTAATCTCTTTGCTTATCTTTCTGTAGAATATTTACAAATGCAAAATGCATATGTAGCAGTGACCTCTAAAATTTGCAGCAGAGATGTTTCTTTTAGATTATACTGTCACAAATGTAGATCTGATGAGTACACCTTCTCAAAGAGTTGTCCCACAGAGATCTTCCATTTTCACATTTGTGATTTTTTTTTTCAGTGTAGATCCCTTCCTTTGGCTTCATTAGTGTGTCCCAGTTAAACAAGCCACAGTGGAAACCATTCCAATAACAAGTAAATAATTCTGTAAATGCCTTGAGGCTGTACAAGACAATTATAGAAGCAGACATTTTGAAGCACTCTTAGTGGGAGACGTGTGGAGAGACAGAGTCAAGGAATGAACATACAGAAAGAGACAAAAGACAAACTGGGTTAACATCATTTGGAAAGTTATTAATGACAGGAAACACAGGGCAGATCAGTGGAGGCAATAGTATCCCCCAGGCATGCGGAAGCAGGGTTTTGATTGGCAGAATAGAGGGCGTACAATTAAGAGTAAATACATAGGAAATGGGAGGTAGGGAAGAATAAGAATGGAGAACACAATAGAAGTAGCCTGCGGGCAGAAATGCCAGATGATCCCACATTGAGAAAAAACAAATTAGAGATGAATTAACAACAGAAAGGTCTGAATAACTAGTGTATGGGCTGAGAGGATGAGAGAAAATTCAGTGTATCATTGCAATGCAGACTGGAGGGTAGGGTTGCCAGATGGTTTTTATCAAAAATACTGCATCCCCCTCCCGCCCCCCCAAAAAAACCACTGGGGGAAAAATTCTGTTGGGGGGGGGGAGGGGAAGACAAAAGTTGTTGAGCAAAAAAAAAGATAAAACTGCATGGCCTCTTTAAGTGGGGAGAGGTTGAACACTAAGACCCAGGGAAGGCATTACTTCCCCTTGCTTCAGGTCTTTTTGCTGGTGGCCATCTTGTTTTCTCGATGAGCTCCCCCCTCAGGTAAGCAGAGGGGCCAGGGTCTGGGCCCAGTTGCTGAGTGTGTCTTAGGGTTGCAGGGTATCTGGTATTTTTGTCTCCTGTCAGGGGAAAAAAACAGAAAATACCAGACATTTTAGGTGTCCGGTATTTTCTGAATTTTTTTTACCGGACAGGAGGCGAAAATACCAGACTGTCTGGGTCAATACCGGACACCTGGCAACCCTACTGGAGAGAGAAAGCAGTCCTGGAAAGTGCTGGATAATCACACTGCCATGTAAAAACTGTTCAGCACTACCCTGGTTTGGGTCTGAAGAGAGAATCTGGAAAGTTTAAAAAAAGAAAACCCCAAAAAACCAAGGACGAGAATGTGGGGGAAAAGTAACTGTATTCACACCAAAACTGTATGCACATACTAAAACTTGCCTTAAAAATTGTAATTATACAAATAACTAAACCATTCAATACTATTGCTTACATAGTTATACATATTGTGTAATACTTGGCATAATCGGGATGGACAAAATTTTTACCTATGGAAAGCGGTCAGGTGCAGTGGACTATTGCTGGCCTCTGCAGTTACCTACTGTATAACTTTGGGCAAGTCACTCTATCTTCATTTGCCTTAGCTACCTCTTGTGTAAAATGATGATGGTAATACTCACCCCAGTTTGTAAAGCACTATGAGGCCTATATACAGCAAGCCTGGTGGGAGAGTGAGTGATTAGTTTTTGCCTGCCCAAAGAGCTTGTAATATAACCATCCTTTTAAACATTGAAATATAAAATGTTTGTCAGTTCTGAGGGAATGAACTAGGAGGAAAAGTTGAGTGATTTAAATACGTGTGTGGTGGAGAAACAGAAGATGCAAAGGGATGCGAGGACTACTAGTGTGTGTGTGTGAGGGGTTTAAAGTCAGAGATTGTGAGAGAGAGAGATGCTCAAAAAGAGGGAAAATGATAAAGGATGGTGGAAAGGAGAGAGGGGGAGAGATGTTAGTCTAGGAAGAGTGGGTGGTGATACAATATTGAAGGCTGCACTGAGGTGAAGAGCAGCAGGAAGAAGGAAGTAAGTTCATAGATTTGTAAGATCCAAGGCTAGAAGGGAACATTGTGGTCATCTAGGCCAATGGTGATCAACATTTTTGTACTGCGACTCCTTTCATATAGGAATCCTCTACACGGGTTTGGGCTGTTGGCTGGAGCCCCCACCAGACAAGGGGCTGACAACCTATGACCTCCACGTAATAACCTCGTGTTCCTCTGGGTCACAATCCTCAGATTGAGAATCTATGTTCCAATGGTTAAATCACTCTGGCCATGTCTATGCAGCAGCATTATTTCGTAGTGTGAGTCTACACAGCAAGCCCATTATTTTGAAATAAATTCTTACTCCGACTCCTGTAACCTTCATTATCTGAGGAGTAAGGGAAGTCGGGGGAAGAGTGCTTTATTTTGAAATCACTGCTATGTAGACAGCCTCAGAAGTTGAAATGAGCTACATAATTAGCATAGCTCAAGTTGTATAGCTTACTTTGAGTTTAGCCCTGCTGTGTAGGCGTGTCCTCTGTGCCCACCTTAATTCCCCTCTGAATTTGTATAACTTTAACTCCCAGTTATTGGATCTTGTTGGTAACTACAGCACATATAACACAGTTTAATTAAAGTCTCTTAAGGGGGGTGTCATCTGAGGGGTGAAAGGGAGTTATTCTCATCTACTTTAATGTCTGTCTAACCCCAATCTATATGATTTATTATTTGTTTATACTTGGGTTGCAGTAGTGCCTAGGTGCACTGGTCAAGAATTAGAGCCCTATTGTGGTGAGGACTGTGCAGGCATACAGGAAAAAGTCCCTGTCCCAGTGAGCGCTCTCACTAGGTACTGACAAGATGCAGAGGATAAGACAAAATGATAGTATTTCTGTACACCCATATCTGGTGGCACAGTATCTGGATATGCAGTATTGAGAATACAAAACTTAGAATAAGTAATTTTAAATCTCAGTATATTTTCATATGTGACTAGGCGGATATCCACGGATTTGTGGATCAGTAACCAACTCCAGTTATGCATTTCAAAGATGGCCCGCCACGTGCAGCCTGGGGCCAGCAGGAAGTCATTTTTGAACTGTGCAGGTGTGCATTTCAAAGCAGAAGCACCCACACAGAGCCTGGGATCAGCTGGGGACTCCCCAGCTAACTCCAGGTTCTGTGGAAATGCTCCATGCAGTGGAGGCAACGCCGTACAGCTGATCCTGAACTGTGTGTGGCTCTGCCTCTTTAAACTTCTGCCATGGCGTTTCAAAGTGGCAGTGCCGCACGGAGCCCATACCCAGGCTCTATGCGATGCTGCCGCTTTGAAGTACCGTCTTTCCCCCCTTTGCTGCCTCTATCTAATAGGGGAAGCGACTCGTCGACTTGAATAATTTTTGTTGCTCTTCTGTGAACCCTCTCCAATTTCTCCAGATCTTTCTTGAAATATGGTGCCCAGAACTGGACACAATACTCCAATTGAGGCCTAATCAGCGCAGAGTGGAGCGGAAGAATTGCGTCTCATGTCTTGTTCGTTACAACACTCGTGTTAATGCAGCCCAGAATCATGATTGCTTTTTTTTGCAACAGTGTCGCGCTGTTGACTCCTATTTAGCTTGTGGTCCACTATGTCCCCCTAGATCCCTTTCTGCAGTACTCCTTCTTAGACATTAGCTTCCCATTCTGTATGTGTGAAATGAATTGTTCCTTCATAAGTGGAGTACTTTGCATTTGTTGTTATTAAACTTCATCCTGTTTACCTCAAAACGTTTCTCCAGTTCATATCATTTTTAATTATGACCCTATCCTCCAAAGCACCTAAAACCCTTTCCAGCTTAGTATCATCTCTAAACTTAATAAATGATAAAGATATTGATCAGAGCCAGTCCCAAAACTGACCCCCTGTGGAACCCCACTTGTTATGCCCTTCCAGCATGACTGTGAACCGTTAATAGATACTTTTTGAGAATGAATTTTAAAACCAACAAATAGTCTGTTAGCACTTTAAAGACTAACAAAACATATGGATGATATCATGAGCTTTTGTGAGCACAGCCCACTTCTTCAGATGACCGGAGTGTTGACACTCTGTTTTAGCAGTGATTGCCATATAAGCTCTTATTCCTGCCCTCTTTATTTCTAAGAGTTAATAAATAATGGGTTTAGAATATGTGCAGAATGTATTTAGAGTAATACAATACAAGGTGACTATTTTTTTCTTTTCCAGAAGGAGACCAAGGGGCAGTTTCTCATAGATCATATCTGCAACTATTACAGCTTACTGGAAAAAGACTATTTTGGAATTCGATATGTCGACCCTGAGAAGCAACGGGTATGTAGATGAACACTGGCACTATTATAAATGTTAAAATCGAAACTTCCCACATAATTTGACAAACACTATTCAACTCCATCTTTAAGATATTTCATCACCTTACTGGTGCTGCCCATGATTATAGATTTGACCTCTACTGCCTGGTCGAGTGCTGCAGAGGTAGGTGTTTGGCATGGTCCACGGTGTTTCCCTATCTGTGTGTACTTCAGACGGCCAGCCCCGATATATTTTTGGGCATTGGCCATCAACTCCTCGATCTTTGCCTGCAGGGCCAGTAAACCCTCCTCTAGGTACTTACTTCCGCCATGCCGCTCAGGATCTCATGTTAGGTTACTTATCACTGCCAAAGTGCGATAGAGCCACACTCCATCAACTCATCTAGTTCCCTTTATTTCCATTTATGTGATTCAGCTTCTCGAGGTTAGTTATTTGTGCTTATAAAAAGTGGGCTCCCAGCATATGAGTTGTATTGTGAGATACGGAGATGCAAAGAGGTTGTGGAAAGCATGCAGTCACAGTTGGCCCACAGCACAGTGGGTAGCACCAGTGGTATCAGGAGAAGCATTGCTCAGAAACAGCCATCTGCAAGCATCTGTAACGTGTAAAAGAGGCTACCCAAGGGTCACTCTGTTTTCACAGCCTCTGCAAGAAAGAAGAAAGCCCTTACTTTTCATAATAACCTGCTGACCGATTCATTTGATGTGTCCTATAAAAAACAAAGAAGAATTAATTAAAACAAAGTCTATAAACAGGGTTCATCCAGGTCCATTTTGTAAATTTAAGATTGTGTTCTTGTATTATTAGAATAAGATTTTCTTTTTTCTACAGCTGTGTAGTATAGTAGTTTGTCTAAACTCTTTTCAGAATGTTATTTATGAGAAACCACTGCAGTTTATAAATTATTTAGCACCATATGCTTGACAAGATGCTTCAGCACCTCAGGAAAGTGAGGAAATTTTAGACAATAAATGAAGACTAACTTGCACAATTAATAGCAAACCCTTACCATTTGCATTTGTTTACCCTTAACATTGCATTTTACTCGTTTTAGCTTTGCTACTAAAGCACAGATCCCATATGAAAATAGTGTTCTTGAGATGAGTAGCAAATAACGTGCAAAACATTTGTGAATATTTAGTAGTCAAATCTGATACCTAAAAAATAAAGTTCTTGCTGCTTCAGAATTGTTTTTCTGGAGTTGTGAATTCTGCTGCTAGAATTTCACATATACCCAACTGCAAGGTTATTCTCTGTAAATGTGACAGTTGTTTCAATCTGGATCTGATACAGAATATCCAAGAAAAAATTATTGATTTAATATATAGTCTTCCTCAAATCTGGGGCTATGCATATTTAAGATTACAGGTAGGTTCTTTTTTATTGTTGTCAGCTTCTGACCGAGTTGAACCCAGTTACAGGTCTAGTATGTATGTCGGATCCACACTTACGAACGGGGCTTTTCTCGCCCCGGAGCTCACGAGCGGCGGGTCGCCACCCGTGTCCTCCGGGGTGAAAAAAGCTTCTCCCGGTCTCCCTGGTCTGCTGGGGGGGTCCAGCAAAGCCGCTGGACCCCCCCAGCAGACCAGGGGACAGGAGCAAAGTTCGCCGCCTGGGCGGCTTTGCTCCTGTCCCTCTGGTCTGCTGGGGGGGGTCCAGAAAAGCTGCTGGACACCCCCAGCAGACCAGGGACACCCGAGCAAAGCCGCCGCCTGGGCGGCTTTGCTCCTGTCCCTCTGGTCTGCTGGGGGGGGTCCAGAAAAGCTGCTGGACACCCCCAGCAGACCAGGGACACCCGAGCAAAGCCGCCGCCTGGGCGGCTTTGCTCCTGTCCCTCTGGTCTGCTGGGGGGGGTCCAGAAAAGCTGCTGGACACCCCCAGCAGACCAGGGACACCCGAGCAAAGCCGCCGCCTGGGCGGCTTTGCTCCTGTCCCTCTGGTCTGCTGGGGGGGGTCCAGAAAAGCTGCTGGACACCCCCAGCAGACCAGGGACACCCGAGCAAAGCCGCCGCCTGGGCGGCTTTGCTCCTGTCCCTCTGGTCTGCTGGGGGGGGTCCAGAAAAGCTGCTGGACACCCCCAGCAGACCAGGGACACCCGAGCAAAGCCGCCGCCTGGGCGGCTTTGCTCCTGTCCCTCTGGGCTGCTGGGGGGGGTCCAGAAAAGCACTGGACCCCCCCAGCAGACCAGGGAAACCCGAGCAAAGCCGCACCCTGGGCGGCTTTGCTCCCGGGCAAATGAATCTGGAGCCAGTTCCGACTTACATACAAATTCAACTTAAGAACAAACCTATAGTCCCTATCTTGTACGTAACCCGGGGACTGCCTGTATCGGTATTTTAAGAGATGTGTAGGGTTCCCCTAAAAATCCTTTCAAAACCCTTTAATGATGAGCATCTGAGCCGGTCCCTAGCCTGCCGGTGCTACTTGCTTCTCATTCAGTTTTGCATAGTTTGTCCCACAGGGGATCTTGGGTTGCTGCAAAATCCTGACTTACAGCCATAAAATTGTTTTTTCAATTGAATATGGGTACAAATGAGTAAGGGACAGTGGATTTCTGCAGGTTCCGCCAAGGTTTCAATCCAGTTAACTGTTAGGGACATTTGTAAGAAGATGGAAACCAATGTCCTATCACAGTGTAGGCAAGGGAAAAGGAGTGAAAGGAGAGTCTGCAGACTCTCAAGTTAGTAGTGATGCAGTGTCTAACGTCCCTTCTAAACAGGGTTTGGATATGTTCCTCAAACTCTCGATAAGAAGTGTGAAAACCAGCAGTCATCCCAAACAGAATTCAAAAGAGAAGTGCCCAGGGTCGCTGACATTGAGAAGGCATCCACCACTTCCATAGGAGAACACTTCTGCTTAGGTTTTTACATTGCAGTCATTATTGTAGTATCTGATTAGTATTTATTGTGAGGAATATCTTGTGTTGGTAGGGTTTTTTTTAATATAAATGTTGCTATGTGTATATATACATTAGAGATGGCACAGACTAAGACATGCACCTTGCTGTTAGAGTGGAATGTGGTGAAGTTTGCTATGGTTCTTAATTTTGGGGGCAGTTCATGGCACAGATACAGACTGGCCCCTTGCAAAGTTTAGAGGACAGATGTGCTTTCATCATAGTTTATGTGGCTAAAGAGATATGTGGTAGCACTGGCATTTCCTGGGCTTCATGCCCAGGTATATTACATTGCTGTAAAATGATGCAAGTGTGAATAACTGAAGCGAGGGGGTGATCGCACCCCGAGACCCCCCCACACAGGTCATTATTCTTCAAGATAGGGTGGATTCTCCTGGCCAGCTGGAGATGATGGAAGGCATTACTTGTGGATGTTGCTATTTGATAATTTAGCGCAGTGATGGGCAACCTAGACTAGTGAGAGAGCCACGTGAGTGACCCTCTTTCATCTCAGTGGGCCACAAGACTCTGTTTAACAATTAACTGCAGATTAAGCATAGCACACTATCCTTTGCTGAAGACAGACTGTTTGCCAACTTAGTTGGCATTTCCTTAGCATCGACTTCAAGGTACGGTTAAAACGCTCCACCAGCCCATCTGTTTGGGGGTGATAGACCGAGGTCTGGAGCTTTTTCACCCCCAACAATTTGCACAGCTCAGCCATTACCCGTCTGGACACGTTTGTCCCTTGGTCCGTCAGGATCTCTTGAGGCATCCCCACCCTTGCAAAGACCTTCACCATCTCTGTTGCCAGGAAGGGCGCCTTAGTATTACGGGGGGGGTACCACCTATGGATAGTGTGTGGCATAGTCTATAAGGACTAAAATGTATTGGTTGCCCCTTTTTGACCTCTCCAGGGGTTCAACCAGGTCCAGGGCTACCCTCTCGAAGGGCATATCCACCACCGGAAGGAGGACCAGGGGTGCTTTGGGCACTCTCCCTGGTTCAACCAGGTCCAGGGCTACCCTCTTGAAGGGCATATCCACCACCGGAAGGGGAACAGGGGTGCTTTGGGCACTCTCCCCGCTCCCGCCCGCTGACAGTCTGGGCAGGACTCACAAAAGTCTTTGACCTCCTTGTACACCCTGGGCCAATATAAGCGCTGTAAGACTCTTTGCAGGGTCTTTTCTACCCGTAGATGGCCTGCCCAGGGGCTGGTGTGGGCCAGGTCCAGTACTTGCCACCGGAATCGCGCCAGTACCAACAACTGGTGCGTCTCTCCCACTTCCCCCGTGTGGTGAGGACCCAATACAACCGGTTGGTTCTTATGTCGAACCATGGGCCCTCTGGTCACGTTGACTCTGCGCCGAGGTCCTCGCCAGCTTGCTTTCACGCGTGCTTGAGTGAGGCGTCCTCTCTCTGCTCTCTGAGGAAGTCTGCCACTTCTCTCCTGTGCTCCGCTCCGGGCTTGGTTTCCACGGCCTGGGCCTCCGTGGCCCTTGCTCAGTCTCCTGCTGTCGGGGCGTTTCGGTAGCCGTTGCCCCTTGATTTTGTCTCCATCATGTTACCAGCCACCGAAACCCCGGCCAGTCCCGCCCTAGTATCACCAGGTATACCAATTTTGGGGCCACTGCCACCCGGCACCGGGCTCATAGGTGCCTCTTGCATATGTGCACCCATTGCGTGGGATAGTGTCTCACTTCCCCGTGGATCTCTGGCACCCCCCTGTGGCACCAGCTCGTCTCTAACTAGGGTTTGGTTGCAGCCAGAGTCCACCAGCGCCCAGGCCGGCTGCCTGTCCAAGCTTACCTGGACTGTGATCCGGAGAGGGTCTCGTCTCTGCGGCATTCGTGGTGTTGCCTGTGCCCGTCCATATGAGCAGTCCATAAAGGGACAGTCTCAGCTGAAATGGCCCTCCTGTCCGCATTCGAAGCAGGTTCCTCACTTCATGGGTTCGGGTGGTCGGGAGGCCTCCTCCCCTGCCGGTCCGGTGTTGGTGTCGTCAGAGCTTGTCAGGTTCAGTGGGCAGGTACTGGGTGGTGCTGGTGGCCTGTCATACACAGGAGGTGACACTAAATGGTCTAGCGATCTATTCTGGCCTTAA